TTTAAAATATTTTTGGAATAATTAGTTGTCAATTTCTAAAACTGAAAGTGACATAACTCATTTTGGAGTAAATATATAGTTTAAACACTAGGAGAATAAAACCTACACTTTAGTGCAAAAAAGAAGATTGCCCTTTATTGAAATGTGTCAATAAATTTGCTCAGTTTTAATTTTGGATCTCTTTGCAAAAATCCAAGAAAGTAGAGTTATGAGAAAATGTGTTATCTATAAGAGTTGAATCCATAAGCATAAAGTTTAAAAAATGATAATAAGTGTTAAATACATACAAATTCTTTGAATTTTTTTTATTGTAGCGTGTTTTAATTGTATTTAAACAATTACTCAGCAATTGTTATTTAAAATTTCACTGGCTGCGATTGACTAAATAATAAAAAACATCATCTGTTGGCATCGCAATTTTTAAATGTGGTGACAAAAATAGCACAAAAAATAGTTAACGGAGCTGGCTAACAGAGTAATTTTAACTGAAAAACTTATCAGAGCTGTTAATAAACGGAGTCTAAATGGAAGGATTAGAATACCATTTACTTTCCTCCATTTTATAACCAGCCGTTTAGATTTTTTTTCTTAACGAATGCTCAACCTAGAGTCATTTGAAACCATATTTTAAATATATAAATTTTTCTAACACTGTAGCTCACAGTGTTAGAAATATTTATATATTTAAAATATGGTTTCAAATGACTTAAACTAGCTTATCGTTCTTACTTGAAAATAGTTTGATAAAAGTATGGAGTCTGATCTTTTTCTCTTTTTGAATTTTAGTCTTTTAAAGTGAAACTTTTTTTTTATTTTTCATTTTATTTTGAACAATATGTTTTATAATAATTTTGTAAGTATTTTTTCAAAAAAATCACTTGGGAGCAAGACTTATAAATGAATAAAGAGCGTATCGAAAATGTTATTGTATAAATATGTATTTTAAATTTCAACGTATTAATACGTATTTAGTAACTTGTTTTATTTTAAAAACGCTGAACTTCTAGTAAGTAATAGTAGCTGATTAAGAGGTAATTGTTAGGAGGTAATTGTTTTGAGATATTTTCTAATCAAAGTTTTCCTTTTCCAGGGTACCAGGGTTTACGTTTAATATTTTTAAAGAAAATAATCACATTGTGTCTGCATTTGCTTTTTTTTAAAATAGTACAAACTTTTAAAATTTAAAATGGCAACATTTTTCAAAGAAGAATGGTTAAGTGATCCTTTGTTTGAAAAATGGCTGGTAATAGGCAGTGATAAAAAGTCAGCCAAGTGCAAAATATACCAAGTTGAATTTAATCTGTCAAATACAGGCAGAAGAGCTGTGATAAGTCACATGGATGGCAAAAAACATGCACAGAAGTCAAAGCCAGTATCTTGCTTCTTCATGCGTGCACTGTCTACATCTAAAAAGCAAGCAATACTTACAGTAGATCAGTGTGATAAAAGTTGTGCTGAAATCTATTCTGTTTTAAATGCATTGAACTAGTGTAATGAAAATGGCTTACTTTATCAGAAAATGTTCATTGATAGCAATACTGCTAAATCTTATGAAATGGGTAGAACAAAACTTGGTTATATAATTAAATTTGTTCTTGGACCTTATTTTCACAGACTTTTAACTGAAAATATAAAAAAATCTCCTTATTATACTGTTTCATTTGATGAGTCTGAATGATTGTTTACAAAATTAACAATTGAATCTAAATATTTGGTTTTGGAACAGCGATCTAAGTCATGTTGAATCCATATACTTTGACTCTAAATTTTTAGGTCACCCCACAGCAAAAAATTTACTTGAAAGTATGACTACGTCTTGGTCAACAATTAATAGCATAAATCTGACTCAACTAAGTATGGATGGACCAAATGTGAACTAGTCCCTTCTTAATCTTCTTGAAAAGCAGCAAGATCAACAAGAACTACCTAAACTTATTAACGTTGGGAGTTGTAATCTTTATGTAATAAATGGGGCTTTTGAATCGGATTTTCAATCTGCTGAATGGAATATAGGGAAGTTAATGAAAGCATCATACAACCTTTTTCATGATTCTCTGGCTAGAAGAGGTGATTATGTAACTGTTACTGAAGTGAGAGTTTTCCTTTTTTTGCATTTTGCATTTTGCTTAACACGCTGGGTTGAAGACCAAAAAGTTGCAGATAGACTTAGTTCAATTTGAAAGAGTGTTAAAAAAATAACCAAGTATTGGGAGACTCTTCCTAAAAGTAAGCAACTAAAATGCAAGAGCTATGACACAGTGCTCGGGGGAACAAAAGATGAATTAACTTTTTTGGTTACATTGCAAGTTCGTTGCAGAAAATCTTACTGAAATATCAAACCGATGCCCAATGATTCCCTTTCTTTTTGAAGATTTGTTCTCAACTTTTAAAAGTTTAATGGGTTTAATTATAAAACAAAATGTCCTTAGCACCATCCTCAATGGCAGGCTACTTAAACGGAAAACTTTCAGCCATTAAAATTAATGACAATTGGATTGGCTGCTGAATGTCACATTATCGAGTTGGGGAAAAAGGGTGCGTTATCTCAGGATGTCATTAACTAATTCATGAAAGATTGCCGTCTCATTATCATTGGAGTCCTTAAAAAAAATATTAGAAAGAAGTTTGAATCGATTTTCTTTTCTGGAAACAATTGGTTGCATCAGTCCAGTGTCAATTCTTTCTAAACAAAAAGCTGATGTTCTTCATCAGATGAAATCTGTACTACATATAGTTCTTTCTTGCTCACATATTACTTCAAATGAATGTGATCAAGCTTTCATACAATTTTCGATGTTGTTAGAGAAAGTTTATCTACTCTTTGACTTGCATTTTAAAATTTTCACTCTGGAAATTGTTTAGAAAAGTTTTATTTTGAAACAATTAAAGTTGGTGTAGATTACATGGTTTTGTCAAAAGTTTTGATATTTATTTTTACGTTATGTCATGGGCAAGCATCAATTAAGAGAGGTTTCAGTAATAACAGTAATATGCTTAGTGAAAATATGAAAGAAAAGTCCCTTATATCTTGTCGCACTATCAAGGACTTTATGGCGTCAAACAAAATGAAAGCTCACGAAATAGAAATAAACAATGAAATAATAAAGGCTCTTTGTAGTGCCTTGTTACAATGTAAAAACGATTTGGAGAAAAATAGAAAACTCCAAGCAAAAGAAAAAGAAAATTGCGTAGGAAAAGCACAAAGTATTAAACGAAGTTCAATACTTTTTGCTTTTCCTACGCTTTTAAAACATATGATAAGGAATTTATTACATTCACCAAGGAAACAAACAGAAGGATATGTCTCAAAAAAAACATCTTCTTACAAAAGGCAATGATCATAAGCGAAAAAGTGAGGAACACGATAAAGAAATAAAGATGCTTGAAGAGGATTTAGTTATATTGTATAAGAAAAAAAAGAAGTCAATAACAAATATTCGTTTTTTTATTTCAAACATTTCAGTATTTAACAATATTACTTTTTTAGTTTCCTCATTTAGTCTTTTTTAATTAATTATTATAATTTTTAATACATTGCTCGTTACTTAAAATCTTAATTGTTACTTTTTTTTTTTTTTTTTTTTTTTTTGACGTCTGACGGATTTTCAATGCTTGTTGAACATATCCGTTTTAAATATACCCTGGTTCAGCCCTTAGTGGAAGGGCTATATGATAGGTCACGATATTCTGATTAGTCAAACATTTTCAAAAATTCAGACATAAGCCTAATTCGGACATTCTCTTAGTTAATTCTCTAAAACAGTTGGAGCATTTTCCTATATTGGACAAAGGGGTATAATATGTATATGTATATGTGTGTAGCATAGTATATATATATATATATATATATATATATATATATATATATATATATATATATATATATATATATATATATATATATATATATATATATATATAGATAGATAGATAGATAGATAGATAGATAGATAGATAGATAGATAGATAGATAGATAGATAGACAGACAGATAGATAGATAGATAGATAGATAGATAGGTAGATAGGTAGATAGATAGATAGATATAAATATATATATATATATATATATATATATATATATATATATATATATATATATATATATATATATATATATATATATATATATATATATATATATATATATATATATATATATATATATATATATATATATAGATATAGATATATATATATATATATATATATATATATATATATATAATATATATATATATATATATATATATATATATATATATATATATATATATATATATAGATATATCCTTCAAAGTTCAAGTTAACGGAATTCTACTATAAATAATTTCATGTGTTGATTGAAGTAGTTGATTAGTTATTTTAATTTTTAAACAAAATTGATTTGTTCATTACAGGGGATTATAGCATCTGTTTTTTTAGAGGTAAAAATGCTCTGGGGTTAATGGAGAAGTTTTAATGTTAAGTGTGGGTGTTTGAATGCTGAAAATATCAGAAAAATCAAGGAGAAAAATGCTAAATTTTATCAAAATAATCAGGGAAAATCAGGGAGAAAAAAGCAAAATTTTAGCAAAAAATCAGGGAAAATCAGGGAGAAAAAAGCAAAATTTTAGCAAAAAATCAGGGAAAATCAGGGAGAAAAAAGCAAAATTTTAGCAAAAAATCAGGGAAAATCAGGGAGTTTTGTTCTTAAATAACTGTGGCAACACTGCAATATATCTCTATATCAAGATATTTCATCTTATTGGTCATAATAATAAGTCTCTATATCAAGATATTTCATCTTATTGGTCATAATAATGCTAATCATGTAATCTTTTTAGGATATTTTTTATTTCTATTTTTATAAATATATTTATTATTATTTTGATTTTTCTATGTCATTGTAATCAAAGTTTTTTCACTTATTTTAATTTTTTTTTTTGTTTTTGTTTGTTTTTTGTTGCTTTTTTTCTCTATTTTTATTTATTTTTTTCACTTGTAAATTTTTAACTTTTAGACCTTTATGTAAAAGGTAAGGATGTCACTTACCTCGCAAGTATGTGCAAGCTAAAAGCTGGTAGATTGCTCAGAGAAGTTACGGATGCTTGCTTGCAATATTGGGGCGGCATGGGTTATATGGAAGGTGAAATAAGCAGAGCGTTTAGAGACTCACGACTAGTATCCATAGGTGGTGGAGCAGATGAAGTGATGTTGTCAATAATTTGTAAATATATGGACACGCTACCTAGCTCGCGATAGAAGAAGAACGGAAACATTTTATAAGAAATAAACTGTCTTCTATTTTGTACTATTACTGAAAAATACTTTAATAACCTTTAATAATCTTTATATCATTGATATATCATTGTGTTAATGCACCATATGACAGTTTTTTTTTTGTATAGTTAATATTATTGTTTCTATTGAATTTTCCATTCTCAAAGATCCATCATTATATGTGTATTGTTTTTAGTTTTTTAATTAATCGAAATATTACCTTTTATTTAGAACTTCAGAGGAACAATTGAAAGATGCAAATAACTATTATTTCAGATTTTTTTTATGAGTTGCTATACAATATGAATGTTGCTGAATTATTACAATTTACGCTGAAAAAATATGAAAACTGTGGCATAAATAATATTTATGTATAACTTTTTTTAGAATATTATGTTCTTGATGTTCAATTCTTTTGTTTTACTAATGGTAAACTTAATCTGTAAATGATTGTTGTTTTTTTAAACTTCAAAAACGAGCTATACAGTCATGCTAACCTGAATTTGGCATTGCTTTATAAATGACTGTCTTGTGCTGTGGCTTTTCCAATTTAACTATATCTTTTTTTTTTTTTTGGAGTGTTCATACCGCTATTGCTATGAAGAGCACAAACAACATATAAGGCAATTTTTTTTTTGTAGCATGTAAAATGTCTTTGTCTTTCGGATATTTTCCTACCATTCCTCCTAATTAATCTGAAAAACTTAGATAATAAACCTTTCAAGTGATTTTTTTTTTTATGATATACTATTATTAATTGGACTGTTTTCATCGTCTTTGTTCCCGCAACCAATCCATGATAAATTTCGGACTGTGATACAAGCGACAGATGGCAGACTTTTTTAAAATTCTATTTATTTTATCTAAAACATCAGTGTTAATATTAATAAAACGTTTATTCAACGGTTCGCTATCTAGAAGCACAACTTCACGTAATAATTGTAGCGTGGCGCAGTGGTCGGAGTTCTGGTTCAAAATAGGGTTGTTCGCCGAAAAACAAAACTTGCGAAAATTTCGCATCTTTATCTACCGTAATAGAATTGTTATTGCGGAAGTTGCGCATGCAAAAATGCACATTCCGTAACGCGCTATACGAAAATATAAATAAATAAAATTCCGTAATAAAGCATTGCGAAAGAAAACTTGCGAAACAAATCATTTCGTAAGAATACTTACGAAATAGTTCCTTACGGAAAAAGCATTCCGGAATGTGTAGTTACGAAAAAGACGCAAAAGATTTTATGTTACGATATATTTAAGATATTAACTGTTAACAGTTTAAATAATAAATAATAAAATTATAAAAAAATGTTGTCAAATGATTCTTCAAATGTTTATACAAATATACCTAATATATATATATATATATATATATATATATATATATATATATATATATATATATATATATATATATATATATATATATATATATATACATTAACGGGATTTTACTGTATATATATATATATATATATATATATATATATATATATATATATATATATATATATATATATATATATATATATATATATATATATACATATATATACAGTAAAATCCCGTTAAGTTGGACTCTCAATGAACAGATAAACAGTATGCCTTTCTTTTTAAAAAGTATAAAGAGGATGTGTGATAAACAATTAAATACTTTATTATAAAGAACGAGAGATCTCTCTAAAGGTAAATGATATCAGAAAGAGAAAAAAGAGAAGAAATAAATGTGAAACAGCGGGATGTGAACCTGGGTCTACGCGGCTAAATGTCTTAACTGAATGAGCTATACGTTCATTCAACTAAGTGAATAGTAATATCTATTTAATATATAATTAAAAAAACTATATAAAACAAATTTACAGAAATGAGATACGTATGCAAATAGGATTCTATATATCAGGAAAATGAATAGTAATGTGAACCTTTAGATGCTTATAATTAATATCTGGACTCAAAAACTAGTTACTTTTAATGGAACACAATAGGCTGTAGGAGCCTCAGGGAAATTATATTCAGAAATGGTTATATTAGACTCAGAGTTAGCTAGAAATTATTACAAAGTATTTAGGACAGATGTCTAGTACAAAAAGCAAAAGATTTAAAGCAAAATGATTTATATTATTTGAAAAAGTTGTTTTACGTACATTTCATCATAATTTAAGTAGAACTTAGTAAAGCAAGGGAAACGTGTTGAATTAAGCACAATGAACTCAATCTTAAAAGAATAACTAACAGAAGAGAGGTTGTCACTATTGTGAAGGTGACGAAAGATCTGTAATATAGAACATGGAGGTCAAAAAATGCTATCTTAAGTAAAAAGAGTTTGATGAACAAAAGTTACAATGGCTGCGGGATGCGAACCCGGATCTCTGCGGCGAATTATCACGTATCTAACTGATTGAACTATACAATCTTATACTCAAATTTATAATTTATTAAAATTAAAAAACAATATTTTCTAAGATCTATACTTCGAAAAGCGTATTCAAACAGGACTCTACATACCTTTAAAATCTGCTAGAACTTTAGTAAGGTGCACACTTTTAGAAATTATTGAAATAGGTATATTTTATCAGAAATATGCTTAAGCTAAAGCATATTTTTGAGCCTCTTTTTACTATTTGCTTAAGCATATTCGAACCTGTTTCAAAAATTTCATATGCTTTAAAAAAAAAACATGTATATTTCTACCCATCATTCTTATTTTTAATATACGTAATGAGTTCAAAAAACATCGTTGTATATATTTATTATTGCACGTTTCGTAAGTTTATTTCCGTTAAGAATTCTTTCGTATGTTGTGATCCGAAATACTTTCGTTTCGAAAGAAATTTTATTTTTTATCAATATTTCTAAAAATAAAACCATAAAAATTTAATAGTTATTATACTGAAAATAAAAATTCATTATAAACATTTTGGGATTTAAAGATGTTAATTTTTACAATTAAAATCAGTCTGGCAAACAAATTTTCTTTATAGACTTCAAAACGTCGTTTGGTGAAAATGTTTGTTTCGCAAGTGCGACTTCCGAAACCGCTACTTTCGTATGTTGCAAAATAGTTTTGTTTCGTATGTCAACTTGCGAAATGCTAAATTTTGGAAGTGGCTTTTGCGAAATGAACATCGGCAATTTTAAATGTTTTGTAACATTCGGTGCGAAAAAATGTAATTCCGTGTTCTCAATCTCCTTACGAAAGAATGTTGTTTTTCCGGAATTGCACGAAATCCTCCGGTTAACAACCCTAGTTCAAAACGGTTTTTAACGAAATCCTCCGGTTAACAACCCTAGATCAAAACGGTTTTTTTTCGTGGTTGGAGTTCTGAGGGGTTCTTTTTCGGGTATTTTTGAACATTGGGTAAGTGCGTCTAAATAAAAACATATTTAAAGATGTTTTTATTTAGATGCAGTTACCCGATGTTCAAAAATAAAATAGGGGAGAGTGGTACTGAATGGACCACAAAATTCAACTTTTTTGTAAAAATAATTTTTTCCCATATTGTCAACAACTATGGCGGATATATTAATTCAGAAGTCAAAATTAATACCTTCACTAACAATCCTTAAAAGTTGTAAACCATTGCGCAAACAGAACATAGGCAAAATGTGCGATAAATGTGACCCGTACCAAACTATTTAGTGGTCCATTCAGTACTGTTCATTGTACTGAATGGACCAACCCTTGTACTGAATGGACCACAAAAAAAGTTTTTTTTTTTATAAAAAAGATCAATATCTCTATCGCTAATAACTATAGCCGATATATTAATTCGGGAGACAAGATTAATATTTTAACTAACTATCGTTGTATATTGTATATTATAATAAAAGTTGTAAACAATTGCGCATAACAAGTTACATTATGCAAAGCAATTAGGGTGATAAATGGAGTTTAAAAACAAGAAAGAAGTATGTTGAGACATTGATATTTCTGAATTAATTAATACAACTTTAGACCGAAGTCTCAATCAGATAATCAAATTACAATAATCACAAACATATTGGCTGGCATTATCTGCACTTGTGCAAGTGCCCAGCTCGCACACTGTCTGCAACGGTACCACACTTCGTTGTCACGACCCATTTCTTCACATATAGCACACAAATCGTAATTTGATGTAATACCTCCACAAAAATTTAAACTTTGATCACCATTATCATTTCTTTCAACAAGAATATCATCAGCCTCATCATTATTATATGTCATTAATGGAAACTTTAGAGTTTTTGAGTTGCTTGATTTCTTTCTTGATTTCCTTTGACGTTTATTTTTAGCATCTTTTTGTTTTTCAGAAAAGTTTTGTTTTTTTAAATTTTGCTGAAGTTGTTGATTTCGAAGAGCCTCTTTAATTGGAGTATCAGTTAGAATCGAAGAGGAGAGCTTTTTGCGAGCACCTTTGGTTTTTTCTAAACGAGCTTTTGCAGAAGGATAAGGGCGTATACTTTCGACATTCAGGGTATTGCTAACATTTTTGTTGACTTTAACATTTCTATTTATTTCTACTGAAACTGGATAGATGTTGAGTGCTTCAGGATTAGGTCTATTAATTTCAACTGAAACTGGGTTGATGTTAAGTGCTTCAGGATTAGGTCTAACAATTTCTAATGACACTGGATTGATGTTGAGTGTTTCAGGATTGGGTCTATTTGTAACCTGAGATAAAAAAAAATCCTCATCCTTCCACCGATCAGGTTGAAAAGGACTTATTCCAGATACTGAAAAACCACTAATGATGTTAACTGGCATTGATACTTTTGCCCAAGCCTTTCCAGAAATTTCTGCAATGTCATAGATTGAAACAGTTTTTCCTGGATGTGATACCAACCAGCTATCAATTTCACGATTATAATGACGTTTGAAAGGTCCATACACTGTTATATCTAACGGTTGCAGTTTGTGTGATGTATGGGGTGGGATTGTTAAAACAATTACACCATTATCTGATGCTAAGTCAATGAAGTTAATTGACAAATAATACTCATGATTATCTAGTATCAACAGCACAGGGTTTGTCTTAGATGGTCGAACACTTTTTATAAAATGATTAAACCACTCCATAAAGGTTGATTCCACCATCCACCCAGATTTGTTGGCAGTGCCAACAG